CATTCTTTATAAAATCCACGCCTTATAGGAGCCTTGAAAAAATATTCTTTATAAAATCCACGCCTTATAGGAGCCTTGAAAAAATATTCTTTATAAAATCCACGCCTTATAGGAGCCTTGAAAAAATATTCTTTATAAAATCCACGCCTTGTCGGAGCCTTGAAAAATATTCTTTATAAAATCCACGCCTTGTCGGAGCCTTGAAAAATATTCTTTATAAAATCCACGCCTTATAGGAGCCTTGAAAAAATATTCTCTATAAAATCGACGCTTTATAGGAGCCTTGAAAAAATATTATTTAAAAAAAACTACGCCTTATAGGAGCCTTGAAAACATATTCTTTATGAAATCCACGCCTTATAGGAGCCTTGAAAAAATATTCTTTATAAAATCCACGCCTTGTCGGAGCCTTGAAAAAATATTCTTTATAAAATCCACGCCTTATAGGAGCCTTGAAAAAATATTCTTTATAAAATCCACGCCTTGTCGGAGCCTTGAAAAATATTCTTTATAAAATCCACGCCTTGTCGGAGCCTTGAAAAATATTCTTTATAAAATCCACGCCTTATAGGAGCCTTGAAAAAATATTCTCTATAAAATCGACGCTTTATAGGAGCCTTGAAAAAATATTATTTAAAAAAAACTACGCCTTATAGGAGCCTTGAAAACATATTCTTTATGAAATCCACGCCTTATAGGAGCCTTGAAAAAATATTCTTTATAAAATCCACGCCTTGTCGGAGCCTTGAAAAATATTCTTTATAAAATCCACGCCTTGTCGGAGCCTTGAAAAATATTCTTTATAAAATCCACGCCTTATAGGAGCCTTGAAAAAATATTCTCTATAAAATCGACGCTTTATAGGAGCCTTGAAAAAATATTATTTAAAAAAAACTACGCCTTATAGGAGCCTTGAAAACATATTCTTTATGAAATCCACGCCTTGTCGGAGCCTTGAAAAAATATTCTTTATGAAATCCACGCCTTATAGGAGCCTTGAAAAAATATTCTTTATAAAATCCACGCCTTGTCGGAGCCTTGAAAAAATATTCTTTATAAAATCCACGCCTTGTCGGAGCCTTGAAAAAATATTCTTTATAAAATCCACGCCTTGTAAGAGCCTTGAAAAATATTTTTTATAAAATCCACGCCTTGTAGGAGGCTTGAAAAATATTCTTTATAAAATCCACGCCTTGTAGGAGCCTTGAAAAATATTCTGTATAAAATCCACGCCTTGTGTAGGTATTTCGAAAATATTCTTTATAAAACCCACGCCTTGTGTAGGTCTTTCGAAAATATGCTTTATAAAATCTACGCCTTATAGGACCCTCGAAAAAATATTCGCCTTATAGGAGCCTTGAAAAAATATTCTTTATAAAATCCACGCCTTATAGGAGCCTTGAAAAAATATTCTTTATAAAATCCACGCCTTATAGGAGCCTTGAAAAAATATTCTTTATAAAATCCACGCCTTATATAGGCCTTGAAAAAATATTCTTTATAAAATCCACGCCTTATAGGAGCCTTGAAAAAATATTCTTTATAAAATCCACGCCTTATAGGAGCCTTGAAAAAATATTCTTTATAAAATCGACGCTTTATAGGAGCCTTGAAAAAATATTATTTATAAAATCTACGCCTTATAGGAGCCTTGAAAAAATATTCTTTATAAAATCCACGCCTTATAGGAGCCTTGAAAAAATATTCTTTATAAAATCCACGCCTTATAGGAGCCTTGAAAAAATATTCTTTATAAAATCCACGCCTTATAGGAGCCTTGAAAAAATATTCCTTATAAAATCCACGCCTTATAGGAGCCTTGAAAAAATATTCTTTATAAAATCCACGCCTTATAGGAGCCTTGAAAAAATATTCTTTATAAAATCCACGCCTTATAGGAGCCTTGAAAAAATATTCTTTATAAAATCCACGCCTTATAGGAGCCTTGAAAAAATATTCTTTATAAAATCCACGCCTTGTGTAGAGCCTTGAAAAAATATTCTTTATAAAATCCACGCCTTATATAGGCCTTGAAAAAATATTCTTTATAAAATCCACGCCTTATATAGGCCTTGAAAAAATATTCTTTATAAAATCCACGCCTTATATAGGCCTTGAAAAAATATTCTTTATAAAATCCACGCCTTATATAGGCCTTGAAAAAATATTCTTTATAAAATCCACGCCTTATAGGAGCCTTGAAAAAATATTCTTTATAAAATCCACGCCTTATAGGAGCCTTGAAAAAATATTCTTTATAAAATCCACGCCTTATAGGAGCCTTGAAAAATATTCTTTATAAAATCCACGCCTTATAGGAGCCTTGAAAAAATATTCTTTATAAAATCCACGCCTTATAGGAGCCTTGAAAAAATATTCTTTATAAAATCCACGCCTTATAGGAGCCTTGAAAAAATATTCTTTATAAAATCTACGCCTTATAGGACTCTTGAAAAAATATTCTCTATAAAATCCACGCTTTATAGGAGCCTTGAAAAAATATTCTCTATAAAATCGACGCTTTATAAGAGCCTTGAAAAAATATTCTTTATAAAATCCACGCCTTATAGGAGCCTTGAAAAAATATTCTTTATAAAATCCACGCCTTATAGGACTCTTGAAAAAATATTCTCTATAAAATCCACGCCTTATAGGACCCTTGAAAAAATATTCTCTATAAAATCGACGCTTTATAAGAGCCTTGAAAAAATATTCTTTATAAAATCCACGCCTTATAGGAGCCTTGAAAAAATATTCTTTATAAAATCGACGCCTTATAGGAGCCTTGAAAAAATATTATTTATAAAATCTACGCCTTATAGGAGCCTTGAAAACATATTCTTTATGAAATCCACGCCTTATAGGAGCCTTGAAAAAATATTCTTTATAAAATCCACGCCTTATAGGACTCTTGAAAAAATATTCTCTATAAAATCCACGCCTTATAGGACCCTTGAAAAAATATTCTCTATAAAATCGACGCTTTATAAGAGCCTTGAAAAAATATTCTTTATAAAATCCACGCCTTATAGGAGCCTTGAAAAAATATTCTTTATAAAATCGACGCTTTATAGGAGCCTTGAAAAAATATTATTTATAAAATCTACGCCTTATAGGAGCCTTGAAAACATATTCTTTATGAAATCCACGCCTTATAGGAGCCTTGAAAAAATATTCTTTATAAAATCTACGCCTTATAGGACCCTTGAAAAAATATTCTTTATAAAATCTACGCCTTATAGGAGCCTTGAAGAAATATTCTTTATAAAATCTACGCTTTATAGGACCCTTGAAAAAATATTCTTTATAAAATCTACGCCTTATAGGACCCTTGAAAAAATATTCTTTATAAAATCTACGCCTTATAGGACCCTTGAAAAAATATTCTTTATAAAATCTACGCCTTATAGGACCCTTGAAAAAATATTCTTTATAAAATCTACGCCTTATAGGACCCTTGAAAAAATATTCTTTATAAAATCCACGCCTTATAGGAGCCTTGAAAAAATATTCTTTATAAAATCCACGCCTTATAGGAGCCTTGAAAAAAAAATTATTTATAATATCCACACCTTATAGGAACCTTGAAAAAATATTCTTTATAAAATCCACGCCTTATAGGAACCTTGTATAAATATTCTTTATAAAATCCACGCCTTATGGGAGCCTTGAAAAAATATTCTTTATAAAATCCACGCCTTATAGGAGCCTTGAAAAAATATTCTTTATAAAATCCACGCCTTATAGGAGCCTTGAAAAAATATTCTTTATAAAATTCACGCCTTATAGGACCCCTGAAAAAATATTCTTTATAAAATCCACGCCATATAGGAGCCTTGAAAAATATTCTTTATAAAATCCACGCCTTGTAGGAGCCTTGAAAAATATTCTTTATAAAATCCACGCCTTGTAGGAGCCTTGAAAAATATTCTTTATAAAATCCACGCCTTGTAGGAGCCTTGAAAAATATTCTTTATAAAATCCACGCCATATAGGAGCCTTGAAAAATATTCTTTATAAAATTCACGCCATGTAGGAGCCTTGAAAAATATTCTTTATAAAATCCACGCCTTGTAGGAGCCTTAAAAAAATATTCTTTATAAAATCCACGCCTTATAGGAGCCTTAAAAAATATTCTTTATAAAATCCACGCCTTGTGTAGGTCCTTCGAAAATATTCTTTATAAAATCCACGCCTTGTGTAGGTCCTTCGAAAATATTCTTTATAAAATCTACGCCTTAGAGCCCCCTCGAAAAAAATATTCTTTATAAAATCCACGCCTTATAGACCCTCGAAAAAAATATTCTTTATAAAATCCACGCCTTATGGGAGCCTTGAAAAAATATTCTTTATAAAATCTCGACTTATAGGACCTTCGAAAAAAATATCCTTTGAAAATATTCTTTATAAAATCCACATAAATCGGAATTTAAATTTAATTGTTTTTCCTCAAGTTCAAGGGCCTCATATTTCCCATATGTGACCTTTTGTTTATGAAGCATGTTCTCCATGCCAGCCTCCATACTTAGACACAAAAAATTTTAATTTGTTTTAAACAAAAGAAAATCTGTATTTTCCGCTTTTCCCTCATCTGCTCTCCTCTAACCATTATCATATTATTTTATTGTTATTCTTTTTTTCCTATCCATTACAGTACAACAACCCAGCAGCTCAACCCTCTCATTCACCATTAGCAGAATCACAAAAGGCATAGAAGAGAAACCATTGCCTAAAACAAATTAAGTAGAAAAGTTACCAAAAGAAAGAATAGCCGACAAAAAAAAACGAGCAACCATTTGCAACAGTTTGCTACCCAAAAAAAATTGCCCCGAAGGACCCTCATCCAAGTATCTTTTATTCCATTGTTACTGGGCAGGCTGACATATGCCAGCTCTGGTTAATGTTTGCTGTTGATATCTTTGTATGCTCTGAAGAAGAAGAAGAAGAATAACCACTTGGGTCATAAGCACCATCAGTAACAGTCGCAGCAGCCATCTTCTTCATCACCATCACATGTATGGACACTTGTGGTAGCTGGAAGCGACATTGTGCTTAGGTAAGAAGGAGGTAAGTGTTGTAAACAATTGGAAATAAAAATACACTGAGAGAAATAAAGAGGTACATTCAAAGAAAAATAACAACATAGGAAGTAACTCAGTTCCCATGTTCTCAAAATTTTGAAACCATACCTTCAAGTTGAGGTCTATATTGTGTATTTTCTTTATACCCCCAGTTTTCTCTCAGTGTATATTTTCCGTAATTTTCCCAAAATAGTTATTAACGATTATTCATATTTATTTAAACCCATGTTTTTGTTGTTCTTCTTCTTCTTTTTCTCCCATATTTTCATATTATTCCCCATTGCCACATTCGCCCATTCGGCTGCGGTAATACAGCGTGGACAAGCACAACGTGTCAACAATGGGTGACAATATAATTGGTTCGGCAAGTTTCTTGCATTTAGGTGACATTGTTTCACTTTTTGCGGAGGGCAGTGTCTGTGGATTTCTCAGTACTCTTGGGTAAGTTTCGGAGTCATATCTACTCCTGCAATTTACTTTATGAATGTTTTTTTTCTTCTTCTGTTTCTGCTCAGTTTGGTTGATGATCGTACTGTGGTATGTCCGGAGGCAGGCGATTTAAATTTTCCACCCAAGAAGTTTCGAGGTAAGTGAGACACGAGCACACCCTAGAACAGATTTTCAGATTCATTTCTTTGATTTCCTTTTTCGACAGATTGCCTAATAAAAGTATGTCCCATGAATCGGTATTCGGCCCAGAAGCAATTCTGGAAGGCCGCCAAACAATCAGCCAGCTCAAATACGGATACAAATTTATTGAAGAGGTTACATGTAAGTATAGATGGAAACATATGATTCCAAATTATCCATAATTAATGCACAATTAAATCCTTCTGCATTCCATAGGCAATAGAAGCCCTTCAGGCCTTCTATAGGCAGTAGAAGCCCTTCAGGCCATCTATAGGCAATAGAAGCCCTTCAGGCCATCTATAGGCAATAGAAGCCCTTCAGGTCTTCTATAGGCAATAGAAGCCCTTCAGGTCTTCTATAGGCAATAGAAGCCCTTCAGGTCTCCTATAGGCAATAGAAGCCCTTCAGGTCTTCTATAGGCAATAGAAGCCCTTCAGGTCTTCTATAGGCAATAGAAGCCCTTCAGGTCTTCTATAGGCAATAGAAGCCCTTCAGGTCTTCTATAAGCAATAGAAGCCCCTCAGGTCTTCTATAGGCAATAGAAGCCCTTCAGGTCTTCTATAGGCAATAGAAGCCCTTCAGGTCTTCTATAGGCAATAGAAGCCATTCAGGACTTCTATAGCCATTAGAGGTCCTTCAGGTCTTATATAGCCATGGAAGGCCCTCGGGTCTTCTAAATAGGTACTTTATAGACAGTAAAACCCGTTCAGGTCCTCTATAGCCAATAGAGGCCCTTAAGGTCTTCTACAGCCAAAAGAACCATTTCAGGTCTTCTACTGCCAAAAGAACCCCTTCAGGTCTTCTACAGGCAATAGAAGCCCTTCAGGCCTTCTATAGGCAATAGGAGCCCTACAGGTCTTCTATAGGCAATATAAGCCCTTCAGGTCTTCTATAGGCAATAGAAGCCGTTCAGGTCTTATATAGCCATGGAAGTCCGTCAGGTCCTTAAAAATCCACGCCTTGTGTAGGTCCTTAAAAATATTTTTGTTTTTTAAATCCACGCCTTGTTTAGGTCGAGGCTTTCTTATGAGTTTCTAATCTCTCCCCTTCCCTCTTCCTCTTTCCAGCACGCCGCCGAAATCGAAAAGAAACAAAATGAAACGGAAAACAAAAAACTCTTGGGCACCGCCATCCAATATGGCAATGTGGTCCAACTGCTGCATCTGAAATCCAACAAATATCTGACTGTGAACAAACGTCTGCCCTCCCTGCTGGAGAAAAATGCCATGCGGGTATATTTGGATGCCAATGGCAATGAGGGTTCCTGGTTTTATATTATGCCCTTCTATAAGTTACGCTCTACGGGAGATAATGTGGTGGTGGGCGATAAGGTCATCCTGAATCCCGTCAATGCTGATCAACAAAATCTCCATGTGGCAGCCAATTATGAGCTTCCCGATAATCCAGGCTGCAAGGAGGTTAATGTCCTGAATTCGTCCACCTCGTGGAAGATTACCCTCTTCATGGAACACAAAGAGAATCAAGATCACATTTTGAAGGGTGGAGATGTTGTGCGTCTCTTTCATGCGGAACAGGAGAAATTCCTTACCATGGATGAGTATAAGAAGCAACAACATGTTTTCTTGCGGACAACGGGTAGGACAAGTGCGACAGCGGCCACTTCGAGTAAAGCCTTGTGGGAAATCGAAGTGGTCCAACATGATTCGTGTCGTGGTGGTGCGGGACATTGGAATTCTTTGTATCGTTTCAAACATTTGGCCACTGGTTATTATCTGGCAGCAGAGCTGGACTCTGAAAATGGTCTGGGAGGTAGCGGGGCAAATGCCAGTAGTGTGGGTCAGCTGCAGCAGCAGCAACAAATGCATCAGACTCCTACCCAGCTGTTTAACATTAGTGCGGAAAATGCCAAGGATTCGGGTATTAGCTGTAATTCGACGATGATAGGTAAGGTGTTGAGATTTATTTTAGAACTTGTTGGAGTAACTAATTTTAATTTCCCCCCTCTCTCCAGACAAAGGTAAATTGGAACACTACCGTTTGGTTTCCGTACCCTTTTCCACCGACATTGCCACCGTGTTCGAATTGGATCCCACCACCATGGCCAGGGCAGATAGCCTTGTGCCACAATCTAGCTATGTACGGCTACGCCACCTTTGCTCCAATACCTGGGTCCATGCCACTTCCATACCCATTGACATCGATGACGATAAACCGGTAATGTCCAAGGTATGCTGCTCGCCCGTCAAGGAAGACAAGGAGGCCTTCGCTTTGATACCCGTACCTCCCGTCGAAGTTCGTGATTTAGATTTCGCCAATGATGCCTGCAAGGTCTTGGTATTGGTCACAGCCAAATTGGACAATGGCACCATTTCGATCAATGAAAGGAAATCCCTCATCTCCCTACTGCAGGACATAGTCTACTTCATAGCGGGCATGGAAAATGAACAGAACAAAACGAAGGCCTTGGAATTGACGATAAAAAATCCCATACGAGATCGGCAAAAATTGCTGCGAGAACAATACATACTCAAACAGCTGTTCCGAATTTTAGAGGGACCCTTCCAAAAACACCCTGGCGGAGATGGACCCTTTCTAAGGCTAGATGAGCTTAGTGATCCGAAGAATAGTCCCTACAAAAATATCTTCCGTTTATGCTATCGCATCCTGCGCTTGTCGCAACAGGATTATCGTAAAAATCAGGAATACATTGCCAAACATTTCGGGCTGATGCAAAAACAAATTGGCTATGATATCCTCGCCGAGGATACCATCACCGCCTTGCTGCACAATAATCGTAAACTTCTAGAGAAACACATCACGGCGGCGGAAATTGAAACCTTCGTAGGGCTGGTACGCAAAAACATGCATAATTGGGATTCACGCTTCTTGGACTACCTCTCCGATCTGTGTGTTTCAAATCGCAAGGCAATTGCGGTCACACAGGAATTAATTTGTAAAAGTGTTTTGAGTTCGAAAAATTCCGATATCCTGATTGGTACCATAGTGAAAAGTGTCAAGAGTCCTAAATTTGGCTTCGCCAAACAAAGTGACATGAACAAACCCCTGTCGCCTCTAACCGAAGTCCTTGACGATGATGACAAACTTGATTTGATATCCACCAAAACAAATAGCACCTGGGATATGCGTAGCCTCGAGGGGGACAATGAGCAGGAGGGCGATAATGTTAAATATGAAATTCACTTGAAATGGAAGGGTCTAAAGGTATACCCTAACTTCGTATCCCACAAAACCTCCGTATTTAACCCATTCTTTCCTTTCTTTACAGGAATCCCGTTCAATTGCCGATTTAGCCAACTGTGTGGCCCAGGGCAAGGAGCAGGAAATTGCCATTCTCAACTACTATCGCCATCAGCTGAATTTATTTTCGAATATGTGTCTGAATCGCCAGTACTTGGCCTTAAATGATTTATCACCCCATTTGGATATTGATTTGATTTTGAAGTACGTACGCCCCTAATTCTTCATATCCCGAATTTTAAAATAAAATTTTGCCTTTCTTTTGTTCACTTTTCAGATGCATGTCCGATGAAACAATGCCCTATGAATTGCGTGCTTCGTTCTGTCGTTTAATGCTGCATCTGCATGTAGATCGTGATCCCCAGGAACCGGTAACGCCGGTAAAATATGCCCGTCTCTGGAGTGAAATACCATCGAAAATGTCAATTTTGGAGTAAGTAGAACATCCTAGTTGAATGAGGATTAAATTTAGGTTCGCTTTGACTTCAAATCCACATTAGAGGACTTAATATTATTATTCTGTTGTTCTGTCGTATTCTCACCTGGAAATTAAGTTTGACCGAGCCGAAATTTCGATGCCCTCTACCCTCAAAACACATAAATTCGGTAGGGATTATGTGCCAGGAGATTTTTTATCCTCTGAGCAAAGGAAATATGTAGCAATTTACAGATGCTGAAGATCGGCAATTTCGTATAAGATTTTCATGATGCCAAAAATGGGTCGGGAGTGTCAAATACAGGGACATGCCAAAACACTTCAAATCATCAGAAAAATTGTTTATAAACCAATGACAATGCATGTCAAATACAGCCAACTAAAAGCGGAAAAATACCTAAAATCGTTCTGGTTTGTATGTCGGCATTTTCTATCCCCTAAGATAACGAAATATTACATTTCGGATACTCAGGTTCAGAAAATTCGTCTAAGTCGAATACGTGGACTTCTTTAAATGATCAAAACAGGAGCTTTTGTACCCAACAACCCGAGATTTTTGGAAATGTTTGAGTTCGAAAATTTATGTCCTTAAGAGTATCCCTTCGCATATGTTTCCTCATCAGCGTTTAATGAGACATATTTTCGATTATACTATTTTCGAGAGCGACTTAACCGTTTCCCAATCACTTGTTCATCTCATGCTCGCCGACTAATCAATTGACCTAAAATGTCAGGTTCCTGGACCTGGAGTAAGTAGGGTACAAATTCAGGATACGATTCTCAGGATAAACTAACCCTCACCTCTTCTGATATGTCTCCTCATTACCCTCAAATGATACCAATCATTATTGTTAAAAGGGACATAAGTCCGATTATTTTGTTTTACGTGGTTCCAGAACTACATAACCATTGCCCACAATTTACATGATTCGGTGCCGATATTATTGCCGTTAAAAGTAAAAATCCGATCAGTATTCATTCCTTGTTTCGAGAACGACTTACCAATAATTTACTAAAGCCGGAGCCGGTCTCGCTTGCTATAAGACACACTACTCTTCTCATCGATCTGTCGTTCTAATGATGCTTTACGAATTACCTGCTAAATAAATCATCGTTAAATTAGCCAAATTCCTATTAGAAAGACTTAACCATTGCTCACAGTTTACTCGATCCGGTACCGATGTTCCAGAAACTTATGTCTTATGATCTCCAATATCAGGTCTCTTGATCTAGGCTTAGTAGGATTCGTACGTAAACGAACTCTCGCACCTCTTCTGATCTGTCTCCTCACCACCGATCATATGTTTGCCCTTGGTTCGAGAGCGACTTAATCGCACCTCTTTTGATCTGTCTCCTCGTCACCTATCATACTTCTTCCGTTGGTTCGAGAGCGACTTAATCGTTGTCCATAATTTTCTAAATTCGGAAGCAGTCTCGTCCAGCTATACGATTCAATATTATTATCTTTGACAACTGTGATATCGGCTGCAACTGTAATGATGTCCCACAAATGCACCTATAATAACCGAAAATGAGGAAGATTTTGCAGTTCACGGATCCTAGATCCGCTACCAATATTAAAAAACTTCAGATGTTGCAGCCACATTTTCCCCTAATCTATTGACTACCAATGTCAGTTCTGTGGAATCAGTAGGTTTCGTCCGACAAAACAAAATAAAATATATTAATCCCACTTTGTTCGATGAGGTAATAAGGTCTTAATTCAGTTATTTAACCCGCAGTTATGTAGAGAGCGGTTGCAACTGTCTCTGATGTCTAAGAAATTTCCTCCCACCTCCTGCCAGAAAATCAGAGCGAAAATCTTTGAAGCGGATCCTCTGGAATGTCATCTGAAAATCAGAATGATTTTGCAGCTCCGCTACCTATGTTGCAAGACTTCAGATGTTGTAGCTACATTATCCGCATAGTCTCACATATTAATCTATTGATCATCTATTCGCATGATTAATGAATTTTTTGTTAAATTAATTTGCGTACCTCAAAACTTCAGATGTTGTAGAAACTCAACGACTAATCTATAGAGTTCCCATTTTCTGGGGCCAGTACGATTCGTGCGCTCAATACGCTCATTTGGTAATAATACTTCCATCGATGGGATGTTAGGTCTTAATTCGAATATTCAACCAGCAGTTATTTAGAGAGCGGCTGTAAGTAGCTCAGAAAATTCGATATGCTATCCGAAACTTATAACGATTTTGCAGTTCTCTGAAGCGGCGATAGATTTGTTACCGATATTGCCACTCTTCCGATGTTCTAGTTCCATTTTGAATCCCTCTTTGGGCGCCATTCTAATTATTGAAAAATTAACAACAGCATAAAAGTTGTCACTTGTCATAAATGATATTGATGCTGAAAAATATTCTTTGATTGCACCCCTCGTTGGGCGCCATTTAGATTTTTCATAATCAGTACGATTTTACACGCATGATTGTGATTGAAAAACACCAACGTTGGGCGCCACTTGTTAAAATAGTTTAATGTATATTTTTTAATATTTTGTTTAATATTCTAATTCATTTAGCGTCCTATTGATAGATTGAAACTCTCGTTGGGCGCCAATCTAATTCTTGAAGAAATAAGCTAACATTACATGTCACAACAGAAAAATATATTGCCCCCAGATATAAAAGATTCACATCGATTATTACTGAGAACTATTATTTGGGAGCCATATTTTTATAATTAATATGATTTACAAAGCAATCTGAAGCGATTCGATATATTTGCTCAGCAAACGTAACTAGGACATTCAATCAGCGATATAGTCCAATCGCTGATTGTTTGACATCAGTTAATTCTACCACTGAAAGGAAGGATTTAGATGAATTATTGAATCAAAAGGAAGTAGGTGTACGAAAGAACAGGACCTAATATCGGTCGTTCTTCTTGCGAAGTAATATCCTTGAACTTGTTCGTCTCGGAATGATCTAACTCGAATTTCTGAGAAGTTTACTTTATCTTATACTAAGAACTATTATTTGCTAGGACTACTCCTTGGGCGCCATCTCAACTATACATAATTATCCCGACTTTAAATGTTATACATTAAAATCCAGGAAAACTGCAGTTCAATCCCACTAAATGAACGAAAGAATCAGACCTAGTACCGATCGTTCCTTGAACAAATTCGAATTTAAAATCCTAGAAAAAAATTTAATATATCTGAGGTTCAATTCGATTTTTTTAAACTTATTCAATAATTGGGCTCAACGTTGGGCGACATTTCGATTATCGATAATTAACCAGACATTCCGGCACTTTCCCACATCGAATTTCTGAGAGTTTAACTTCATCTCGTATTAACAACTATTATTTGTTTGGACCCCTCATTGGGCGCCATTTTGTTTATATATAATTAATCTTACTTTATACGTCGTGTGTTAAATGCTTCTAAAAACCCAAACATAGTTCGACATCCTTTAAAATCTATTATTTGATCGTTGGTCGCCATTTTGATTATTAACCCGATTTTCCAGAGAAGTGTTCTTAATCTTTTTTTTTTAAGTATTACTTGTTTAGACCCACCATAGATAATAAACCTGACTTTATGCATCTGACATTAAAATCCTCAAAGACTCCAGAATAGCTGAGGTTAATTTCGATATTTTAATTGGACCCAATGTTGGGCGCCATTTTATAAACATGAACACTACTTTTTCATTTCAATTTTATTTTTTACATTTTAGCTATGATGGCAAAAATCAACAACCTGATCAGAACAAGGAAGCTGTACGGGCCAAATTTAATACCACCATTGCATTTGTGGAGAACTATCTATGCAATGTGGCGGCTAAGGTTTGGCTATTCACAGATCAGGAACAGAATAAGTTGACATTTGAGGTAAGTAGCCTAACTATTTTGGGGGTTGAATGCGGAAATTCAATCCAGTGCATTCATTAGAGTTGGACCATCTCGTCCATTTTCGCTTCACAACAGGAACTAGGTCCTTCATTTAGTTCATAGTTCATTTTTTGTTTAATCGTTCACTGATACACGGCAATGAATGGAAAGATCTAGATGAATGGAACTTGGTAAACGGGAGCATAAACTAGTTCGGAACCCTAGTCCAGAACAATCCAACTCTACCATTTATTCAATTCCATAATGTTTCTGATATGTCCTCAAAATTTATATAAAAATATACATTTTCCAGGTGGTGAAATTGGCTCGTGACTTAATTTACTTCGGCTTCTATAGCTTCAGCGATCTGCTTCGATTGACCAAGACATTGCTTTGCATCCTCGATTGTGTTTCGGATAGTAGCATTGATAGTTCCACGGCGGCTGGACCAAATGCTGGACGATTTGAGGCAGCTGTAACAGACTGTAAGTGTTTCTAACTAGAGGGAATGAGATTCTCCTATAAGTCTTTAACCCCATATATAATCAGTTGAGTTCTGAAACTTATTATTTGGCTAATGAATCTGATTGGCTTGGCTTATTTAAAAACAAATATTTTTACATTATTTTTGCCAACATTTATTTTCGCCAAAATTAAAAAAATAAATAAAACAAAAGCAAACGAAGATGAGGATTCGAAAATTGGTAAGTTTATTTGCCAATCTAAAATCTTCCCAAGAAAAAAAGATTGAAACATCTAGAACTTGCACTCACCAAATACCACCACACTAACACTCCACTCATAAATTTCCCCAACATTTTTAGCCGAAGGTGGTGTCCTGCGTTCCATTGGCGATATGAACACCGTTATGACCAGCCTGGCATTGGGTTCCGTTGGCCAGGTTATGGCCACACCGGCCATTTCATCGCTACAACAACGCAAATCCGTATCACAGCTAATGAAGGAGTTCCCCCTGGTCATGGACACAAAGCTGAAAATCATTGAAATTCTACAATTCATTCTGGATGTCCGTTTGGATTATAGAATTAGTTGCCTCCTATCGATATTCAAGCGTGAGTTCGACGAAAGTGACGCCCATCAATTTGCCAATCAGTCGGAAGCAGCTACAGCGACAGTAACATCGGCACCCTATGTACAGACTACCACAACCACAATTACCACAACATCGGACAGTGGCATTAGTTCACCATCCACAATATCGGGTGGTGGTGGTAGTAACACAACTTCCAACACAACATCATCTTCCTCCACCACATCACCCACTTCCTCCAACACAAACACAACCACCGGCTCCGGCACCCAAGATGCCCAGGCATCGGCAGCAGCTGCTGCTGCTTTCCAACAGCGTCAAAAGAATATCGATTTAGAGTCAATTGGCATACAGGCGGAGGGCATTTTCGATTGTGACAGCGGTGATGCTGCCAATTTGGATTTGGACGGTCAGGGTGGTCGTACATTTTTACGTGTTCTATTACATTTAATTATGCATGACTATCCACCGTTAGTATCGGGAGCATTGCATTTGCTCTTCCGTCATTTCAGTCAACGTCAGGAGGTTTTGCATGCCTTTAGACAGGTAAGTGTCCAATTAATTTTTATGATTTGAAGTTCTTGGAATGTCAAGTTTTTGTTGAACATTTTGTTTGTTGGCATTTGAACAGCTTTATAAGGTGTATTTAGCGAACTCCACATTTGGGCGCCATATCAATTATAGAGTATTAATCAGATTGTGGTATTTCTACAATTCTAGACAAGAAAAAACTGGTTATAATTTCACGATACGGAACACCATTAACTGTTTGCGCGTGACTGCCTCATTTTCAGAAAAATGATCGAACGATTCCTCCAACCAAAAACCGCACAGGATGCATTTGCCTACTAACAAAACCAATTTCAATTGATTTGGACGTTGGGCGCCATTTCATCTATTGAGTATTAATGAGAATCTGCTAAAATCCAATTATATGTATTATAATTGTACATAGTTGTTTAGTCTCATGTTGGGCGCCATTTTAATTAGTATAAATAGTTAGAATGAATGATATAATTTCCTTGATTTGGGATCGCCGTTTTGTGAAAGCTGGAATAGAGTCGTGTCGCTCCGCAACGAACTAGTTCAAAGGAACTATTCCACAAAAGGAACACTAAGTACTAGGTTCGGCTCTTCCGTTCATTTGTCTTCTAATTTATTGAGTTCATTTTGCTCCAATCGTTCATCTAGATCTTCTCGTTCAATTTGTTCATTGAACGAGTAAACTGACGGTCATGCATTATGAGGAACTATGAAACTAAATGAATGGCCTAGTACCTTTTGAGGAGCGGGTCAAAAATGATCGAATCGCTTAAATGGCTATGCAGCACAATGTCTCCTTAGTAGGTTTAGCAAGCATGGGAGTACAAATGTGTGCTTTGTGGTTGAATTTATTCCAACGTGACATTGTAAAAAAATCTGCTCTTCAGGATGTCGACTTCGAGAAAAGCTGAAAAGAAATTGGAACTGATATCGTCTCTCTTGGATTTAGCCATAATTCTATGAGTGGAATATTTCTTGATTCGGATAGACCATTGAAAAATTAGATGCTGTGTGGCACATCTATTTAGGATTCGGAAACAATGCGCTCAAAATTAGAAATATAACTTTGTTCCTAATTTTCAACTTCTGATTAATGCAATTAGAGTGCGAAGGCAAATGCAATAAGTTATCTAAAATCACTCATAGAAACATTTTGGATTATGTGGGGATAGAAAAATGTCAAGCTTTAATATAATTTCCCGCATTCCAGATGTGAAATGTGTCAGGGTTGACTTGGATAATTGAAGATTGCACACCCGCCAGAACTTAGTGATAGTGGCTGGAAGTTGTCGCATTTACATTGTCAATATTTGCGCCTGAAGAAATGAAAGTACTTACAATCATCGGGGTATGACTACGGAGCTTCGCTAGATACATATTGAACAAATACCTTGAGGATCTTTCATTTGGATATTCGGCCTCGGAACAATAAGAAGGCTTGCCGAGCATTTACGTAATTGACTGACAACAATACGCTTGACATCATTCAAAAAATGGAACTCGTGATGTCTGATATAAGCTCTGCATCGAATACGTTGAACAGATCTAAGGCTGACGCTGTGATCCATGCTGGAGCTCGTCGTTGAGTATGGTCAATCACAACTTCCCCTAAAACCATGTTGGCGGGAGGCAAGAATGAAATTCTGTTTTAGAGATGGAATATTTCCTCCGGAAACCTCGTATAGAGTGTATTGATATGACGTTGCCGATAAATTTTCGGTATTTTCAACCGCATTTTCCAAATGAAGAGTTTGTGATTTAACATTCGGAGTTCTTTGCAGAATTTTTGTTCATATTAGGGATACATAGTCGAACGCAAAAGTCGACTTTAGACTTTTCGATTTTTCCCTTTGACTAAAAAGTCGACTTTTGAATACAAAAAGTCGGTTATACGGTTGAGATAGCTGTAATTTCCCTGAAATAACTGTAATTTGCATTTCGGGTTCTCGGTGGGTGAAAGCTTCTTCCCATATAGATACTAATCATAGGATATCCGAATTTCCCTTTAATGTGACAATGGAATTGATATTAGATTAAAGGTCAATCACTCACCTTTCATACACTGGTAACTTTTCAGAATCATGTCTGTGCTTTGGTCCAATTGGCCCGCTAAATTTTGATCGACACTTATCAAAACAGCCGTTCCTATTTTTTTATTCATATCCACCTCCCATGTAAATTTTCATGATGTTAGAAACATAATTGTGGTCTCTAGAGGGACGAGAAAAATAGACAAATAATATTTTTGATACATTTGATCCCCGAAATATTATCAGATCTTTACAAGTTTCTGTGGCCCAAAATTTTGTAATAGCACGAAATTTTAATAGTTGGCCCTTCTGCTCCTCATAAATTATCATCCTTTTTATCGGTTTACGAACTACCCAACGTTCTTGGGGAATGTATTAAGCTTACGCCAGCTACAAATGTAAATATCGAAATTCTGCATCTCGACCAACCTCTAAATTTGTTCCAGATCGAAAAAATAAATATTAACCATTTCTCGAGTTATCGCTTCAAAACGATTTGATGTTCGCTTCGAATGCTCCTGCATTGGGGTTCGATGGTCAAATTGTCGCTTCTAGATGTTTTAGGACCCGTCGTCATGATCGTACAATCATCTGAATACGTAACAATATCAATGCCATCTGAAGGCCGTGGAATGCCGAAAGGGTAGAGTTGATGATCAGCCTGGTGTCCATTAGAAAAATTGTCTTTAAATGGTCTGTCAAATTGTCGCGTCAACAGGCATCGATTATGGGTTTGAAGGTTCCTGCATGGTAGCTATTCCTTCTTCACCGCTATCGATACATACAAGACTGAAGTTAGAATTTTCTGCACCGACGATGGTTTCTTCCGTTATCCATCAAAAGCTTACACATATGTCCTCAACAATAGGTACCGACGCCGTCCGGAGTTCGTGGAATACCCGAAAGGTAGAGGAGATATCACTCCACCCTTAGGAACTCCCTGCTTTCTCTATGAGGTTTGGACTTTGTATTCTGGGACTCCTAGTACGACTGGCTTCCACACATAATAATTGGCCGGAGGGAAGTATTTCGCTCATGGTGACACATGTGAAATCGGCCTATATGGACCACCTTTGATATATATATATATATGTTTGTTCACTATCTAGCACATCCTCTTTATTGCCAAAAGTATCAGAAGAGCATTTGGTCCATTTTATTTTCTAAATTTTAAGTGATTTTTCCAAAAAACTATTTGTTTATTTCTTTGGTAGACTTTGTGAGGGTATTATAAGTTTGTATCACCTCTTATAAAGCTGTTCTTAAAATTTGTTCTTAGTATTAAAGAAATATATATTTTTTTTAATGTGTTACCAATGTTGGTTTTTTTTTTATTCTTTGCCATGCTTTTCAATTTCAACAATAACCAATAACTTACTAACTATTAATGATTTTTAATTTATATTTTTTCTTTATAAGCAATAATTTTTAATACATTTAATTCCCTATTTAAATAAATTTTTACGTTTACTTTTTTTTTCATTAAAAAAATAATTTACTAATCTTACAAAATAACAAATACTTCAATAAATAAAATAAAAAAATAACCCCAGTGGATGAGTATAGTTAGTACTGTTGATTTTTCTTTATTATTCTTATATATTAAAGCTTTATTTATTAATATTATTTATAAACATTTATTATAAAAATTAATATTTTAAATTTCATTTATTTTCCCATTCTCCTCCTGCCAAAATCGAAAATTCAAGGTACAACTTTTGGTTTCCGACAATGATGTGGAATCGTATAAACAAATTAAACACGACTTGGATATTTTGCGGCAAAGTGTTGAGAAATCCGAATTGTGGGTATATAAATCGAAAACTTCCGAGGAATTAAGTACAAGTAAGTAAAGTTCAGGAAATTAAACCCAACTCCAAGCCTATTAACTTCTTGCTTTTAAATAATAAATATTCATCTGATAGAAATTATAAGAAGTTGTAATATTTCCTATGTTGGGCGCCATTTCAGTCATTAAATATTATTCAATCATTTTATGTTATTAAGTTCGGAATTTTATTTTTACATTCTAGCTTTAGAAATAAATATTCAGATGATGGAAATTATAAGAAGTATTAATTTTTTTTAAATTAAGTGTGGAATATATATAAAATAATAAATTTTCTTTTTCATACCCTTCACCACACTGTGGTACAGGGTATTATGTCTTTGTGCATATGTTTGTAACAGGCAAAAGGAAACGAGATAGACACATGGTTCCTTTTGAGAGTATGCATAGAATCACTTTCTGAGTCGATTTATGCATGTCCGTTCGTCTGTAGATGTTAAATTGTAAACAAAGTACAGGTCGTATTTATGATCCGATTTGGATGAAATTTGGCACAAGTCACTTATTTGGCCCAAGGACGAACCCTATTGAAATTGGGAAAAATCGGTTCAGATTTAGATATAGCTCCCATATATATTTTCGTCCGATTTAAGGTAATTGGGGCACCAAAATCCCTCTTTATCTTTCGATTTGTATGAAATTTGGCACAATGTACTGAATTAAGTCCAGAATGATTTGTGCCAAGTTTCGAGAAAATCGGTTCAGATTTAGATATAGCTCCCATATATAGTTTCGTCCGATTTAAGGTAAATGGTGCACCAAAGTTCCTACATATCATTCGATTTGCATGAAATTTGGCACAGAGTATTGAATCAGGAGCAGAATGATGTGTGTCAAGTTTCGAGAAAATCGGCTCAGATTTAGCTATAGCTCCCATATATTGTTTCGTCCGATTTAAGGTAAATGGTGCACCAAAGTCCCTATATATCCTTGGATTTGCACGAAATTTGGCACAGGGTACTGAATTGGGTCCAGAATGAAATGTGCTACGTTTCGTGAAAATCGGTCCAGATTTAGATATAGCTCCCATATATACTTTCGTCCGATTTAAGGTAAATGGGTCACCAAACTCCCTATATAGCTTTCGATTTGCACGAAATTTGGCATAGAGTACTGAATTAGGTCCAGAATGATGTGTGCTAAGTTTCGTGAAAATCGGTCTAGATTTAGATATAGCTCCCATATATATTTTCGTCCGCTTTAAGGTAAATCGGTCTCCCAAGTCCCTATATATATTTCGATTTGCACAAAATTTGACATAGGGTACTGAATTGGGTCCGGGGTGATGTGTGCTACGTTTCGTGAACATCGGTCCAGATTTAGATATAGCTCCCATATATATTTTCGTCCGATTTAAGGTAAATCGTTCTCCAAAGTCCCTATATATATTTCGATTTGCACGAAATTTGGCATAGGGTACTGAATTGGGTCCGGGGTGATGTGTGCTACGCTTCGTGAACATCGGTCCAGATTTAGATATATCTCCCATATATAGCTTCGTCCGATTTAAGGTATATGGGGCACCAAAGTCCTTATATATCTTTCGATTTGCACGTAATTTGGCATAAAGTACTGAGTTAGGTCAAGAATGATGTGTGCCAAGTTTCGAGAAAATCGGATCAGATTTATATATAGCTCCCATATATATTTTCGTCCGATTTAAGGTAAATGGGTCTCCAAAGTCCCTATATATCTTTGGATTTACACAAAATTTGGCACAGCGTACTGAATAAGGTCCAGAACGACGTGTGTTAACTTTTGTGTTAATCGGTTCAGATTTAGATATAGATCCCATATATATTTTTGTCCGATAGATAAATGGTTTACCAAAGACCCAAAGTTAGGTCGATTGACAAAAATTTGGCACAACGTATTGAATATAATATAACCTAGCTTGAAGCAAACCTGTATCAGACCAAGTGAAAAAATTAGTATATGTTGCAGAATAACATGTTTATGGATCCAATTTCATTTTGCTGGTCCTTCAAAAATTCGACGTCTGTTAGGATTCATCTGTTGAATATACCCACAGTGGTGAAGGGTATCATATAGTTGGCGCCGTCCAACTTTACTACTTTCCTTACTGGTTTATCAATACGTACAAATTAGTATTGGGCGCCATTACAAAACTTTGGTTGAGAATATGTTTCTACTAATAGCTGATAATAGGTACAGTACTACTATTGGGCGCCAGCAACATCTAAATAGCTATGACATAAGTGAAATGTTTGTATTAACTTTAAATTGGCCACATGAATTATAATTAATCTAGGTTTTTAGAATCAAATTATAGATGGACCTCAACGGACTCCCTCATCCTATATGGATTTCCCTTACAAGTTCTCTAAAATCCCACCCCATTTTTAAATCTTAATCTAATTTTTATTTGTTTGTCTTTATCCCCCTCAGCTGTAGGAGAATCTTCTATAGATAATAGCAATCTAACCAACGAATATAAGGCTTCATTATCGACTGAACAATTGGCCGAATATAAAAAGGTCAAAGAAATCCTGATACGCATGAATCAATTTTGTGTCACGCAAGGTAAGTCCTACACCGATCATATTATAATTATTATAATTTAAAATTTTCGAAATCCCTCAGGACCCTATGTAAAACCCCGTAAACATGAGCAACGCTTGCTGAGGAATGTTGGCGTCCACACTGTAGTCTTGGATCTCCTGCAAAATCCCTACGATGAAAAAGATGATGTCCTTATGAAGGAATTGATGTTTTTGGCCCACGAATTTTTGCAGAACTTCTGTTTGGGCAATCAACAGAATCAGGTGTTGCTGCATAATCATTTGGATTTGTTTTTGAATCCGGGGGTAAGTACCGAAAGATGATGGAACCTTGAAAAAGTAATTTGTAAAAAAATCCACAATTTTGGCGGACCTTGAATAAATAGTGCTTAAAAATTCACACTTTAGGTGGATCTTAAAATGGTTCATAAATAATTCACGCCTTATTGTACCCTTCCATGTTGGATACGAATAATCCTGCAAAGGCTTACCACTTGGTTCCCTTGCTACTGATCTGAAATTGTTATACTGCTATATTGTTAGTATTTTTTACGACCAGCGCACCGTTCTTTGGGAAGTTATTAAGCTTTTAAATAAGAAAACCGGAAGTAGAGGTTACCATTCAGAAATCAACATCTCCACGGGATCTTATCAGCAGGTATAGCTACTAGACTACTACCCTGCCAGAGGGGTTCGAAGTCGATTATTGCAGTCTCCTTATTTCCACAATTTACCAGCTTGATTCGCATATATATAGTAAGGTCGCGTTGCAATTAAGGACTCTCGCTACTACACCGGGACCAGCCTGGTCGATTATGGCTACTCTGTTTTTCTGGTAGTAGGTCTCCCACGTTTCTTCGTCTCTTCTATCGCTACATACGAGACAGAAGTTGAACTAATCTTGATCCTACCAATCAGTAGTCGCTAGTGATATACATGGGCTTCCAAAATTACCGATTGACTTCGTTGTAGCTCTCCCACTTTCATTCTTCATCTATCCATACGAGACATAATTTGAAACCATCTGAAGCAACGATTTTATTCTATGCAGCAGGATGTTATTTTTCGGTATATTTCACCCTTTTCACTGCCCAAGGCTTTGAAATCGACTAGGAGTTCCGTAGTGCCTTTGTCCCGTTCGAACTTCATTTTAATGCTTTATAATCCGATGGATCTTTATCGCTGATTGTTTTCGGGTCTTGATCGACATAGCGCAGTATGAAATTAGACTTCGATATACCAGAGCCTCATTCGATCTCAGGATTTCGGGTATCTTTGCCTCCCGAGCACTGGCATTGCCAAAAGCCTGTGTGAGTAGCCCCGTTCGTACTTTTTCACTCTATTTAGGTGTTTCTTATTCCGAAGGAATTACTTATAGCCGAAGAAATTCTCTATCGCTGGTTGATTTCAGATTTTGGTCTTAAAAACACAGGTCTTCGATAATTCCTATGAACTTTCGATGCGACTTTTTATCCAGAGCCTCTTTGGACATAGCTTATACTTTCCTCGGAGCACACACACCTGAGCTTTTTTAACCTTCGTAAATTTTTGACTCTCGAGCACTGACAAATACTGTTCCACTCTCGAACTTTGAAGGGAATTTCGATTCTATGGGAACAACTTCAACTAAGAGTTCTCTCGTGCCCTTGACGGAGTAGACTGAAGAAATCGAAATCAGAAATCTTTTCTAATCCGAAGAAACTAGTCTCCGATACTTCCTATGAGCTTTCAATATACCTTCCAGACCAGAGCCTTTTTAGACTTAGCTTATACTTTCTTCGGATCACTCTCTCCTAACCTCTTGTTGATTGCCTTTCGAGCACTCACTTATGCTTTTCCTCTCTCGAGCTTATCCTCATCATTTGGGTTTTTTTCGGAACAGCTACGTCTAAGAGTTTTCTGGTTCCCTTGTAGGAGTACCCTCATTCGTATTTCCTCATGACTTTTAAGTATTTTTTATTCCGAATTACTGGTCTGCTGGAGAATGAAGAAATCGAAATCACGATATTTAGGTCTTTTCAGGAGACTTCAGAACTAGTGGTTCCTAAATTACTTTTTGCAAGTAATCTCGTTGGCGGCTGGTGGCTGTTTGCCTCAGAAAAACTGACTTGTGCTGTTCTTTTCTCCAACTTATCCTCCTAATTGCCACTGAAATCGTCGAGTTCCCTTATGAGTGTAGTACAGGTTTTACATCCCCACGACATTTAGGTGCTTTCTAATCCGACAAAAAATCTTATCGCTGATTGATTTCGAGGGAGAACAAATTGGTCTTCGATATGCCTTCCTGTCCGAGCGTGAGACTTTGATAACCGATGTATGAACTTCATATTCTTCATCTGTCATAGGAATATCGTTCCATATCCCCTCATGGTAATACTTAAGACAGACTTAATGCGGTGGATAGTATACCAGACTACAAGCCAGATTCGAATCCCTGCGGAGGAGAACAAATTTATTTGAAATTTCGTTTCTAATAAATCCAAAGCCACCTGATATTCTAATAACTAACCTCGGCATCAAACCATGAGGGGGATAAGGCGCCATTCAGAGGAAAATGGCAACACTAAATAAGTAAATACCCATACCACTGCTCAAGGAGACATTGTTTCTAGACACCAACAGATGGCAGCCCCATCACCAAGGACAGGCTACAACAGACCAATCATGCACATTGATGGACTAAAAATAAAGGAATATCGAAACTGACTGCTTTATGGAGGAGAAAAAATAGAAGTCAAGTCGTTTGAATACAGTCTGTATCAAAATCAACCAACACAAAATATAATAACTCCATCCAGAGGCAAAAGGCAACAAGCGAGGACCCCAACCACTGCAAATCGTTTCCACGACAGAGGGGTCTACGATCCGAAACGACCCGAGTTATACTCGGCCAACGTCTGTCACCTCAGCCCATTGTGTAGAAGCAATATGGCTGCTACAACAAGAACAACAACCACTGCAAAAATTTAAGCAGGCATTGTTTCTAGGCAATAATAGATGACTGCCCGATCACCAAGGGCAGGCTACAGAATCTAGGTACTAGGTGGGGTAATGCGCTGGCATTGGGAGTCAACCTTCAGTTTCAGAGTACTGATTATTTTATGAGCGCCAATGTTCCCCAAATCTAACAATGGATGGATCCGATAGTATACAACAATCCGCAGAGGCTATTCTATTAATATTCTGCACCTTGGTCTTTAAAAATTGTATTTTCTAACGCATTTGTTTCTCTTTTTCAGATCCTCGAAGCCAAAACCGTCTGTGCTATATTCAAGGACAACCTAACCCTGTGCAATGAAGTTACCGACAAAGTCGTCCAACATTTTGTCCATTGCATTGAAATCCATGGTCGTCATGTGGTGTATCTGCAATTCCTACAGACCATTGTCAAGGCTGAGAATCAATTTATACGCAAATGCCAGGATATGGTTATGCAGGAACTGATCAATGCCGGCGAAGAAGTTTTGGTATTCTACAATGATAAATCATCGTTCAATCAGCTGGTGCATATGATGCAAACTCAAAAGACCCCACTGTCGGATGATAGTCCCTTGAAGTATCATGTAGAATTGGTAAAACTTTTGGCCTGCTGTACCATGGGTAAAAATTTATACACGGAAATCAAATGCAATAACCTGTTGTCCTTGGATGATATTGTGGCGGTTATATGCCATCCGGCTTGCATACCGGAGGTCAAGGAGGCTTATGTGGATTTTCTGAATCATTGTTATATCGATACAGAGGTTGAGATGAAGGAGATCTATTCATCGGGTCACATGTGGAATTTGTTCGAAAAAAGTTTTATGGTGGACATTAATTTGCTGATCAATACGGGGATCAATGCGGATAAGACCCTCATCAATTATGTGCTCAATGGAGTCTGCACCATACTGGCCAGCTTTTTCAGTAGCCCCTTTTCCGATCAGAGCACCATTGTACAGTCCCGACAAATGATATTCGTACAATTACTGCAAGTCTGTTATCGTTTATCTCAATGCAAATGGTTGAGTCTGGCTGATCGCTTTAATGTCGAAAATTGTATACGTACTTTGGCTGAGTCGGCAAAGACACGCAGCATCGCCATACCGCTCGACTTGGAACAGCAGGTGGTGACCATGTCAAGTAAAACGGCTCTGCTCACCAGGCAGACGACAAAATGGCTATTGGCCTCGAAACAGCCAAAATATGAGACACAGCATTCGGCCAATTTAATGCGATTAGACAGGTCCATTATCGAGGGCTTGCAGGATATTGTCTCACTGCTGGAGGATCAATTGAAACCAGTGGTGGAAGCAGAATTGTCACTGTTGGTCGATATACTGTACAGATCGGAACTGTTGTTCCCGCAGGGAACGGAGGCACGAAAAAGATGTGAGTCAGGTGGCTTTATCCGGAAGCTGATCAAGCATACGGAGAAATTGTTGGAGGAAAAGGAGGAGAAATTGTGTGTGAAGGTATTGAAAACGTTGAGGGAAATGATGGCGATTGATGTGAACTACGGGGAGAAGGGGGATGCGCTGAGGAGTACCCTGCTGAAGCGATATTTCGATATAAAGCCATCGAATAC